CCCCCCCCCCCCCCCCCCCCCAAAAAAAAAAAAAAACGTTTCATACCGAAAAAAAGCAGCACATGCTGCACAAGTCTTAGCGCCAAAATGCAATCCATTGGATGGAGCCGCTAGACAGACTTCACATGTTCGCTTTTCGGCTGCACGACGTTCATCAACTAATGGTAACTGGTATCGCGACGATTGTTGCGAAGAGGTGGAAGGCATAGGACTTGATGAATCCAATGACATCAACGAATAACTACTGAAAAACTCATTGCAGTTTATCCTCAAAACCGATCTGGCGATATTGGAAAAAATGTACACGCACGTAAGTCACGGATGGTGCCTGCCTTAGGCAGAGGAGCAGAGTAGGAAAGCATGCACTGCACCTCGAGAATTTTGAGAGCTTCGTACTGGCATTTCGGACAGCCTCAAAAATGTTAAATGGTTCTTGCTGATCGATACAGATTTTCACTGACAATATAATCTAATTTAAAAATTACTTCAGTTTTGTTTCAAAAAGACATATGGAAGTTACAGATTTCACAGCGACGTTCCGTACATAATAATTACCTTGGTTCGGACGATAACCTTAGTGGTACAGCAAACTGTTTGGTACCATAGATAGGATACGGTGTTGAATAAACAGGTGGCGGTACCGCTAAAACCGATGTACATGCGTTGCCAAAACCACTGCCAGAATCCTGAAAGTTATCATTTTTCAAGCACAGAAAATTTTTTTCTCTATTTTCCAAGCATTTGTGGATTCGATATGCCGTAATATGGAACCTAAAGCTATTCTATTTTATAATATAAATCTATTTTCCCAGAAATATAATTAATTACTCATTAAATTCTATAATCTGCTTGTTAGTCAAAACTTACGTGTTCTTCCTATTCATTCACTACACTCGGAAATTAGCACATTCTGTGACGAAATGTAAAAAGCTACCCACTAGCTAAAGTTTCGATGAGTTTCGAGCGCTGCTTAAAAGCAAGCTGATGACGTGTTTGATTTCTAAGAATATGCCAGCATCAGTCTGCCGTCGAAATAAACTTGCAGATGGTTGTTGTTTCAAAATACTCATTAATGAATGGAAGAGTATTTTTCGTTGTATTGTGCAGAAAAATTGGTAAGAAAATGTTTCTGGCACTTTTCACCATCTTTTGGAAAATGCAGAAATGTCGCTGAGTATGACACTTCCAGGCCTCCTGGACACAGTTCCAAAATGATAAAGCCTTTCATCAAGTTTTGTGCTAGAAATGGTTTTTATGCTAAAACCCAGGCTGAAACGCACCAGGCGAGCCCGTGCGATCATGCGTTTTTGCACAGGACTTGAAG